GGATTTTTTTTCTTCATAGGGTTTTAGGAAGACTCAGGCAATCGCTGCTGAATAGTCGAAGTGTTGTAATGGTGAATCGGTATTTTTAATGAAGTGGGTTTGATTACTCTTGACTGTTTTGTGAAATCGAATTACGTCTGTGATGAAGAATTAAAAGGGTGTCTATAGGATTGAGTATGCGGAGTGAATGAAATTTATTGGGTTAATCTAACGAGATAGTTGGTGGTTACAAGATCGTGAGTATAAAGCGGTATCGAAGATTAGCAGTTTGGGTTGTTCGGGGTTCTCTGTAACGTCTAGAGACCTATCGAGTGGGGCAAAAAGGATTTCGGCGAGCAGTCGAAGGACATCTGTATAGATTTACGGTGTATTCTTGCAATCGTTTATATTTCAACAGTCAAAAATCGATAGACAACTTGAATATTGGTAAATCTCCATACTACTTTCTACAGCCAGACGCCCGACGCGTTCTCAAGTAGGAAAGCACATAATACGACATCATCTGGCTGTAGAAGGTAGTATAGAGATTCGCTAATATTCAAGCAGTCTATCAATTTTTGACTGTTAGAATACAAATGATTGCAAGAATATACCATAAATCTATACGGATGTCCTTCGACTGCTCGTCGAAATCTTTTTTGCCTCAGCTGGTAGGTCTCTAGACGTTACAGAGAATCCCGAACAACCCAATCTACTAATCTCCGATACCGCTGTCATACTGTAATTACTTACAGTATGAAAAAATTAGTGAAAACATGTAATATGTTTATAAGTCTTAATGTGAGTTAGAATAGTTAGTATGTTAATTTAAAATGAATTGAAATAAGAAAAATTATTTAGAAGTTAATGTAGTTTGATTATAGAATTTATATTATATAAGATTTAGATAGTTAGTATAAAGATTAAGGGAAGGGAGGAGTTAAAAGATGAAAATATAACTAGAAGGAGGCTTATTGGGAAGGATGAAAGTAAGGCATGGTTGGATGAAGGCAAGGGGTGAAGAACTTCATCCCTATTGGTCGAATACCATGCCCAATGGGCTTTGAGGAGGCTGCCCGAGGCCATATTAGGAATTAGGGTTCCTCTTTCGAGGCCATTCGAGCTTTTGAGGCTAGGGTCAGAAGGTTTAGGGTTTTGGATATAATTTGGATGAAGATTTTGTGTGATTTCGAGTTTTTATGGAAAAGATATGAATGTTCAAAGATAAGGTGTCAATTTCGGACCTACTGTCACTTCTTTTGGGCATCACATACGAATACGGAGAGCAACGGAAGATCGGCGACTAGATTTGGAGGGAGCATTTTCTCGGCTACACATTCTACTTACTGTATAGTGAATTCGAAGATTGGGTGAAGGAGTTATGAGGCGTTGAAGACAGCACTTGTAATTTGAAGGCAGTAAGTATATCGTTTTGTTGCTAGTTATGGGTGAAGCCATATCTTGAGTTTCTGGACGAATTTTTGGCTCAAAATTTCCACAAGTGTGTGTAATTGGGTTAAGAAGCTTTAGATCAAAGTTTCATAGTATTTAAATAATTACTTTGTGAGATATGAAGGAAGTTGTACACGGGTGTAAAAAAGCTAGGGTTTGAAGCTACAGTTAGGATTTTCAAGATATCACAAGATCCAAGACGAATTTACGGTTGAATTTTGGTGTGATAGTTTTGAAAGATATATCAGTACTCCATGTAAAATTTGGAGTTGTTTAGACGGTTAGATCGTAAGTTATGAGCTGTTGAACTTCGGGAAAAATTCCTCATAAGGATATATAAGTTATTTATAACACCTTATCAAGTATTTTGGTGTTCTTTAGATTTTAAGGCTTGTATATTGATGTTATTGCTCCAAAGGAGAGGAGTTTATATATATAAAATTGTTACCCTTATATTTCAAACTTGATTGAGTTTTTAGTGACAGCCAGAAGCCCAGCGCTTTCTTGAGGCAAACTCTCTCTACCCCGACACCGCTTTATACTCACGATCTTGTATCCATTGACTGTCTTGTTAGATTAACCCAATAAATTTCATTCACTCCGCATACTCAATCCTATAGACACCCTTTTAATTCTTCAATCACAGACGTAACTTCGATTTCACAAAACAGTCAACAGTAATCAAACCCACTTCATTAAAAATCTCGATTCACCATTATAACTCTTCGACTATTCAGCAACGATTGCCTCAGTCTTCCCAAAATCCTATGAAGAAAATAATCCCAATCCTCTGTCTTTTTTCCCCGCGCGAAGTATGAAGCTACCTCTCTGACCCTTAAAAAACTTTGATTCTCTCCCCCTTCCATTTCTTAACCTATCCTCCCCTTTAACCCTAATTCTCCCCTCTTTCAAATCCTAGCCTCTGAATTTCTTCAATCTTCAATCTTGGAGTCGAAATTGGCTCCCGCCGTCAAAGCTTTCTCCTCCGTTTTTACCTTTAAGAGATCTTTTTACCGAAAGGACGTTCTCGGAATGGCACAAAGGACGGAACAGCCTAAAACGGAATCGGAGCCCTGTAATCGGAACCACATTGAGTCGCCTGACCAATTCAGGTCTCATATTGGCTAAGAGGCCCGTAGTAAGACCTGGATGTTTTCATAATTGGACCGCAATGGATTGCCCGACCAAATTAGGTCTCATATTGGCTAAGAGGCCCGTAATAGGATCTGGATTGGATGTCTTGAAGTTGGATCCAATTGGCTCTTCGAACAAGGCTCACCCGTCGTTGAATTGGTCCTTTTCTATTCTGCTGACTCCCGTTATTGGAATTGAACGGAACATTTCTGTATGCCTCGGCTGACTGTAACGAGGTCACTGAATCTGGCCTCTCAGTATTTACACTGGAATTGGTCGCTGCTCCCAATATTCGAGGTAAATGAACATTAATAAAATTCTCTTTTTTTTGTATTTTCACAGTATACTTGTGTTACAACACGACACTAGATGAGACATTATGATTATCACAAACTTCAAGATAATGCAATCGAGATGAAGATCTTCAAGAACGACATGTTCTTCCTCAAATAGATGGCGAGATACAACGCGTTTGGTATCATGATTTGGGAAGGGACTTCCGATGTTTGGTGATTGTGCTAGAGGTAGGAACAACTCCTGATGGTGTTCCAAATGTTCTATTTGAAGGAAGTTATAAAGGCCACAACAATGATCAAATAACTGGGTGGTCTTCCTACCCTAGTATGGGATACTACCGATGGTTGAGAGGCTTTATCAATCATCTTCGAAGAGAACAAAGATCAGAGTATATGGTGAATATAATTCATCGCTTCATAGATTTCCTCAACATATGATGATCGCTCCTCATAGAACTCGTCCCTAGAAGGGGAGGTAATGTCACGGACATATTCATATAAGCTTGAAATTACATATACAAATAGATGGAAGTAAGTAAAAGTAGATAAAAGTAAGTTAATTCTATAGTATTTAATATGGAAGCTTCGTAGAAGCTTCATAGACGTTGTTTTGACTTCATAAGTGTCTTTAATTGACTTTTTGGATTACAAATGTGGTCAACAAGTTGGCCATGTGCCACCCATGTTGTTAACTTGAAGATCAAGCTAATTATGTGGCCCACACATAGAAAAACTTGCCTTGTAAGTCAAGGCATGTGTCCTACAAAGTCAACACATATTGGAGGTCCTATAGAACGTCGCCACATAGCCCCTAGTAAAATAGTATATATAGAGAGAAGAGTGAAGGCTTCTTCACTCTTGTCAACTCCTGTCTTGCTTCTTGTCTAGTTTCAAGGGTCTCTAATTTTCTTGTCTTTTGGCAATATCCATTCTAGTTTCTCTTTCAATATACATACTTCTTTATTTATATTTTGTTACCTTTCTTTGACTGAAGGCTCACTTGTTTGAATTGCTTTTTCATCGAGTTCTTGTCCTTGACAATATGTGCTTTTCTTGAATTTATAAAATCAGGGTTAAAGTTCTCTATGTGTGAATGAAGTGACAACCTATGTTTTTACATACTTGCAACTTATAAATACAAGAAAATAATGAGAGTATTATATTTTATCTACTTTTAAAAATAATAACATTTCCTTTTAAAGTAAATAAATATAATATTAATAAATCATGTTCATCACTTAATAGAATCAAATCATGGTTAATGTCTAAGGGCTTCTATTTATCAACACTTTAAAATCTGAATTCACTTGTTCAATAAGGTCATGCTTAAGATGTGCAATTCCTTCAATACTTGATTTCAAGCCAACAAGCCACTTAAATATTCTAAGTGTAAACTCACACCATTCACACTGACATGGCCCAAGTTTCCAGAACTGTTCCACATTCAGAAATGTCTTCTTCAAGCCTTCTAGATTCAGAGCACTTGGTCAAATTCGTTAGATTTGGATGCACTTGGTCCACTTACCCAAGGGATGGCTTGCCATTTAAGAAGCTCCACTACATTTTGCATGGATCTTCTGCTTTTCCTGTAAATGAATCCAACTGATCAAATGCTTCAACATCAAATTTTGGGTGAGAATACAATATCACCTATTCTAAGTCGGTTGATTTTGTATTCCATTGTCAGAACATAGACAATTTGCACACATGATTACATCTCTTGAATGGTTAATATATCACTTGTTAAGTAAAATGCAATGTTACTAGTGTGTAGTGCGCGGTTGAAGGACCTCTTCCAGAGAGAAATGGGCACAGTTAAAGGACCTGAAATTTGACTCAACATGTTAAATACACAAAAATTTAGTATTCCGCTGCGAGCGCGAGGGGAGGGTGGCTGGGACTTGCGGGGCGCCTGCACCGCCACGTCCCCCCGCTCCCCTGCTCGCACCGCCAGGTTCCCCCTCGCTCCCCTGCTCGCCCGGCGCGTTCCCCCCGGCACTCCCCCGCGTTCCCGATAGATCTGGTAACGGCCACGATTGATTCTCAAGATCTGACGGACGAGATGCCTCGAGCTTGTGAATTGAACATGAGACACGTAGTGACCAGGGTATGAAGGTACTCCGCCGATTTGATGGACGTGTCCATCGACAACGTGGTGCCAATCTGTCATTTGTCTTTCGTAGCTTGACCACATATTTTGCACGCCATCGTGGAACTCTGCTCTCGCGCGTTTTGTTTTGAGTTTCCTGTGCTGTTGTAACAACGCCCTGGACTTCAGAAGCTTTGGGATTCTTCGGTAGTTTTTGAGCTACCAAGGGGGGATGCTCTGTGTTTACAGTTCCATCCTTCCTTTGCATCATGAATGCCACAATCGGATTTCCAATTTGGGTTTCGGATTATTGAATCTGCAGGAAGGTGGTGACGACTCTTGCGGTTTTGGAGAATGCAACTCTTTGAATTGCAGAATGCATGGGGCGAAGTGGAGTGGTTTTTGGGGGGTTAGCGTGGAGGCGGGTCTCAAAAACCGAGGGGAATGGAGATTTTGAACCGTCTGCTTCGAATTCCCGACTAGCTCTGATGAGAAGGATTCAGAAGGTATTAAGTTTGGGGAGTGAATGCTGGTAATCGATTTGAAGCACATTCTGTACTCGAGCAGGACTTGGAATCAGTGCTCCATTTTTCGTCTGTGTTCTTTTGACAGTGAGGTCTGTTCAGTGTGCTAAATTCTGTTTAAATTGGCAGGTACTTGAGTATGGGTTGGAAGCTGCTTGAAATTAGGGCCAGCGAAGTTATCCACGTGATTCAACAACTTACTTGATCCGAAACCTTGGAGAAGGTGCACTGTGCATTGTTATTTTTATTTTTCTAAAATGAATACACGGGATTTCACCTGGAGAGTGCTAAAAAGCAAGTGGTTCATCCTAGCAGCAGGGTTGTGGATCGAGAGTATAGCTGGGGCTGCCTACTCTTTCGGTGTGTACTCTCAAAGCCTCAAAGTAGCACTTGGTTATGACCAGCAATGGTTGGATACACTGGCGTTTTTTAAGTCAATTGGAGGTAATTTTGGAGTACTATCTGGACTTCTTTACGATGTGGCGCCACCATGGTTGGTTGTACTCGCTGGTGCTGCTGAGTGTTCATTCGGGTACTCCATGTTGTGGCTGTCTGTCACAAAACGCATCCGTCCGGCTTTTTGGCAGATGTGCATATTCATAGGTATGGCCAGTAACTGTAACACTCTTTTCAGTACTGCCTGCGTTGTGACTAACGTCAAAAATTTCCCCAACAAGAGGGGTCTGGTCATCGGTTTGCTGAAGGGCTTCTTGGGGCTGAGCGGGGCTATCTTGACTCAAGTCTTCTTTGTCATGTACCCGAACGACCCGAGTTCCTTTCTTTTGTTGATCTCATGGCTCCCAGCGGTGGTGTCTATAATTCTGGCGCCTGTCATTCGTGTGGTGCCCGCTTCGGATGGAGATAATGCCACTTTCAGAGACTTCTCAACAATTTCCACTTGTTTAGCAGCGTGCCTCACTTTGGTTATTATTTTAGAGAATGTGTTGAAGAATGATACTTGGCCCGTTTGGATTGCATGTCTTTCTCTGCTGGGCTTTTTTCTCTCTCTCTGTGTGGTAATCATCAAAGCAGAGGCGAAGGATTACAAAGCAGATTTGATAAAGGGCCGTGTTCGAGGTCAGGGCTCGATCTCAGAGCCACTGTTGAGGAATGATGACGGCAGGCACCCATATTCACGTTGTAGTGAGAATCAGTCGTCGAGCGTCCATGCAAAGCTCGATTGGTCTGCTTCAAGTGATCCGGAGATACCGGAAAGTCCAAACGAGGGCGACAACCCTTTATCCGAACAAATTGAAGAAGTTGCAAAACCAAGCGACGGTACCAGTGCAGGATTGGATCAGTCAGTAGGGGTACCCCGAAGAGGGGAAGAACACACACTTAGTCAAGCAATTTCTTCGTTAGATTTCTGGCTGCTGGTTGTAGCTATGTTTTGCTCGATGGGCTCTGGGACAACAGCCATTGACAATATGGGGCAAATCGGCTTATCTTTGGGTTACGAACAGGTCGAAATTAATACATTCATCTCTTTGATCAGTATATGGAACTTCTTGGGCCGCTTTGGAGCAGGTCTCATCTCAGAGCTTCTCTTGCACATGCGAGGCTATGGCCGACCTTTCTGCTTGGCATTCAGTTTGGTAAGCAGAAATTCTCTTCTTTCGTAAAAGATTTGTTTTGTAAATTTCCCTGAACTTCGAAGAATGATCAAGTAACTTATTTGCTCAGTGATTGTCTTTTATTGTTTTTGTCGTCTAGTCTATTCGAAGAATTACACTTCGATCAGATCTTTCAATACATTATTCCAGTTGTGTGAAACTACATGGTATGGCTTGATATAATTTCATTTTTGATCTCTTGTTTTTGGTACGTCCAGGGATTGATGTGCATCGGCCATCTGGTAATGGCAACCGCCGTGACAGGTTCTTTGTATGTGGGTTCCATCATCGTAGGAGTTTGTTATGGAGCGCAATGGTCGCTGATGCCCGCTGTAACGTCGGACATCTTTGGGCTACAGCACTTTGGGACCCTGTACAATACCATCGCAATAGCAAGTCCAGTTGCTGCATACGTCTTGTCTGTGCAAGTTGCCGGGTATTTCTATGACAAAGAGGCACACGAGCAGCATAAACCTGCGACATTAATAGGAAGAATTCCGAGCCTGATAAGCTCTGGCAGTGATAACCCGTTGTTATGTCATGGGCCTAGCTGCTTTCGCACTACTTTCATCATTTTAGCACTGGTGTGCGCATTTGGGTGTACTGTTTGCCTGTGGCTGTTTGCGCGAACTAAACGATTCTATGTCCAAGTTCATGAGAATCTGCACAAGGTCGAGTTGAGATAGCCCGCGTTCAAAAGTAGCCTTGTGTATTCAGGATTTAGGATTTAGGCTTCCAGCCCTTTATAGTCTTCTAAATTTTTTACCTCTGTTCCAGTACAACGATAGCTTGGGCCTATGTATAGGTATTAATTCCTGGGAACGTGGCTGCCGGTAACCTCCACTTCCCATGAGAAACAAGGTTAAAGTTCGATCTTACGATGTAATGTGCCAATTATTTGAGAAAGAAGGAACCATGTATCGAAAGATGCCCTTGATGCAAGTGTTCGATACTGGACTTAGAATGCGTCAAAACACAGAAGTCGCATGAAACCATGCATGTTTATTTAATCGTCAGTTTTTTGCTTACACAATGTTTTCTTCATTTTTCTGAACCTTCCAAAGCTAGTAATTCTCGCAAGTGGAATCAAATGCAGGATTGCCCTTGTGGTTGAAGAATACGTAAAAGCACTACGTCTTAATAGCTCGGCAAAGGAAGTTAAAAGTTAGCTTCTAAAACTCTGCCTCCCACAAACATTAGAGTATGAAAGTACTATGTGGTCACTTGTAACCTTGATCTAGATTTCTCAACAAATACGCCCTGCAGGTTGGAGGGTGCGGATCCGTCTCTGTTTCGCAACCTGCTTGATGGCAAGCACGTTTGACGAAGGCATGAGCCATCTAGCAGCTGATGTTCATAATCTCCATTACAGTGACCACGACATCCATGCACTTAAACAAGGATCGATGCTGAGGGACCCAAGTTTTGTTAATTATCGGGGATGACTGAGTAACCTTGGAAGTGCTTTCTTCAGAGATGGATGAGCTGAAGAGTTAATCCAGCGAGATTGAAAATTTAACCGGGGTTCAGGGAATCTTTGTACAACCAGCGAATCGCAACAACGAGGTCTGTGAGGGGTATCGATGATTCAGGAGGACAGTGGACGAGGTCTGTGAGCGGCACCGATTATAAAACTGGGGTGTCGACATAGCAAACCATGGCGTGAGGGAGCTCATTCGACAGGAGACTTTTTTCGTGAGGAGGCGGAGAGTTGGCAGATCTATCAAGCAGAGGAACGGGCGACGCCGCCGCCGTGTAATTTTGTATTGGGGTTTTTTTTTGCTGTTGGCGCAAGATCAGAGTAGACGGGTAGCTCAGAACGAGCAGGTGGTAGGCGAGAACTGAGCAATGGCTCAGTAACTTTTTTTCAGATCTAGGAAGGAGCGGTAGCAGTGGGTCTTGTGTCGTTCGGAAGCTCCGACACACAAGATTCTAGTGGTACTACTGATGCACTTGTTAGATCAGCATTGAATCCATAGAGTGCACAAGTTGAATATTGTGATTTGAATGTCGTGAATTGCTGCGTGAGCTTACTGCCTTCTGATGTGAACGTCGCCAGTTGTCCTCTAGAGCCTGGATAGGATATTGCACGATTGCCCAATACAGATAGAATTCGCTACGGATGTGAATCGGTTTTATTCTTGGATGGCCTTGGATTTTCTTCGATCTGTCTTTAGGATAAGTAAATTTCGGGGTAGAATTTCATGCGGGAGGAGCTGCTTAATGTTAGCCTCCCGAAAAGTTTAGGATTCCGAAATATCTGGCAACGAATCGAGTGACGAGTGGGCAGTTTGGACCACGTAACTTCGGAAGAACTTCGGATTGAAGAGAGGACTCAAGCAAATAGGGTGGAAGGTGGAGTGTTAGATAAGTGGATGATGTCAATAAAAGAATTACAAAAAAGTGATTTTATTTTATTTTATTTTATTTTTATTTTGTCTCAAAAAAGTGATTTAGTTTGAGATTATGGTTGTTTTATTTTATTTGTTTATCTAGTAATTATAATTGCCCTTAAAAAGTCTTTAGCTCTAAGACAAAGGTTTTTTTAGAATTTGTTAGAGTTAGAATTGGTTAGTGTTTGATGGATTTGTTAATATTTGTCACAGTTGGGTTAAGGGCTGTAACTTAAAGGACCTTTAGAGTTTGTAAGGATTAGAGATTGTAACCTTATGGTTGAAAACAATTTGAAAATTGTTTGTGACTTGCAAAGGGTTATTAAGAATAAGTCAAGGTATAAGATTTGGTATCACAAGATTATTGAGGTTTGTGACTTGCAAAGGGTTATTAAGAATAAGTCAAGGTATAAGATTTGGTATCATAGGATTATTGAGGTTTGTGACTTGCAAAGGGTTATTAAGAATAAGTCAAGGTATAAGATTTCGTATCATAGGATTATTAAGGTTGGATGAATTAAAGAGAATATAACATTAATTGGACAAATGAAAGAATGAATTAAAATATAGAATTTGGTAGACATGTTGATTCTTAATTATATGCAATATTAGAACTTAATAGATTATTTTTATTGAGAATATTTGTACCTTATAAAATTTTTCTTTCAATTTTGAAACTTTTAGGATGGTGTATATTTAGATGTAGGCTATGATACATATTTAACATGAGTTATTATTGAGATTGAATTTGTAGAATGAGTATGGTTTTAAATTTCTTTGAGTTTGAAGGTGTATTCTTAAATTAATATATGTAGTGTGTAGGATCTCAAAGCATATATTTGATATACCAATATAAATAAAGAAATGTGGAATAAATATTGATTTGAAAAAATTAAATCTATTGTGTAATTGTGAATGTAAAGCAATATATAGAAATTGGTATATTTATAAAAAGGTCACTATGGCATATATTTTGGAGTTAATCAAGAATTATTATAATAAAAAGATCTTTATTATGTATTTGGGAGAAAAGATATCTAATCAATATCAAGAAATCTAAAGATTGATTGTAAGATATTGGTACAATATTAATCATGGAAGGTATTAGAAGAAATATTTGGAAAAAATATCAAGTCTATGATTTGGCACAAAAAAATTTATTGAAAAAAAAGAAGGCATATTAAATAAAAACTAATGTATAAATTTATACAAAAGTATTGAATGTGTAATGAAGTTATGTGATTGCTTAATGACTTTTAATACATATCAGTTGAAATATGACTTATTATTGTAAGAATAATTTGTTTTAGTGAACAAAGCTCATTCATTAGTAGAAAATTGTAGAAAAAAGAATTGGTATGAAGTAGCTATACTTCAATTAAAGAATAAAGATACTTTTAGAGAAATAGTTTTTAATTTAAGATATTATTACAAAATAATAAATGATATGTTTTTAAAGTACTTTGCTAATAAATATGAAGATGAAAAATTTGATAATTTTGATGTTGCAATCTATGTTGAAGTGAAAGGCAATGAAAATATTTATATAAGAAATTGGCTCTTACAAGTAAAGAAGAATATTCTTAAAAATGTGGGTTGGTGAAGCATCTATTATATTGATGAAAGGACTAATATTACATAGATGGTGAATAATTAGATGATTTGGAACCATCATTATAAATTAAAAATTTTAAATTTATAAATCTCATACGCAAAGGAACCTATTGAGAAGTGTATAAATCAAATTGGATTGGACTTTTTGTACAACTAAAAAGATGGAAATTATATATGTTATTGTTAGATTTTGATTTCGCTTGACTTAATAAGAATGTCAAGTCAAGGAAGTTTTTTTTACTTACATCTTCAAATCCTAGTTGAAACTAATAAGGTAAACTATTAGAAAAAATTAAGTGGATAAAAATCCATTAGACTAATCTTAATTACATACATATAATGGAATTTGGCACTTGATGCTACATTACATAACAAAGTGTCATAGACATATATATTTACCTAGATAAGAAGTGCTAAAAAGAAAATAAATGTACATAGATTTGATATTATCTTAAGGTGAAGCTTTTTAGAAGCTTCATAAATGCATATTTGATTTTATATATACTTATAGTTGATTAATAGGTTAGAAACTTGACTAGTAAGTTAGCCATGAATTGTTTATGTAGGTAGCTTGTGGTACAAGCTAACAATGTGGTGTACATATAAAAAACTTAACTTACAAGTTAAGATATCTCACAAATTAATCTTATGTTGGAGGTTCTATAAATTATTGTTATATAGCTTCTAATTGGATAATATATATGAAGATAAAAGTGAAGTCATTTTTCACTCTTATTAATGTTTTTCTAGTCTTTAGTCTTATATCAAGACTTTTAGTCTTTTTATCTTTGCCAATAGCCATTTTAATTGAATATATTACCATCTTTTTTTGATTTTTTAGTCTTTTTGAATGACATAAGAGTATATTGAGATTTTTTCTTTGTGATTCATATCCATAATAGTTTGATAAGAGTGCTGACTTATTATTTTTGTTTTGTCTTAGAAGTAAGTAAATTATTCCACTTCTATTGTTGTATTTTGAAGGTTGCAGACTATCCACCTTTAAACTCATTTTTAATTTTCTAACACTAATTGTTTCCCTTAAAAAAATTAAACTACTTTTTTTTGTAAAAAATTTCATTTGATATTAAAAATTATATATTATTCTCATCAAATTTGATCTATAAATTTTTTTGAGTTATCTTTAGAAGAAAAAATTATAAATGCTATTTTGAATAAAATTAAAAATAAATTTATAACTATTTTAGATCTTCTTAATAAACTTGAATGGAAAAAATTATAAAATCATTGCCTTGATAGATATAGAAGCCTCAGCTTGTTTTATAAACAAAGTCTTTGTTAAAAAATAAGAAATATCTTTAATTAAGAAAAATAAATTCATACATGTAGAATTCATATATAGTTATTTTTTATTCTCGAGAGATGTTATTTATAAAATAATTCTTTTAGATGTAGCAACTAAAGATAAAAATAGCTTAAAAATATTTAATATCATTAGATTTTCATCCAACTCAATTATTTTATAATTATTGTGGCTAAAGAAATATAACCTTCAAATAGATAAGACTTTTTATAACCTTAATTTTTTTTATAGTTTAGTCCAAGATCTTGCTAATGGAGTAGAAATCTATAAGTTTAATATAACCAAATATTTTTCGATAGGTGGAAGAACTTTCATGGATTTAATAAAAGAAGGGTCAAATTTTTTTTTATATGCCACACCTATTTTTAACAGAAAAAAGACTTTAAGTGGAATTCCAAGCCAATATCAAGATTATCAAGATGTTTTTTTTAAAAAAATGTAGATATTCTTCTAAAGCATCTTTTCTATGATTATTTCATTGATCTTCAAGATGGAATTTAACCACTATTTGGACCAATCTACAGTTTATTGAAAAGTATCAAGGACATAAATCTTGAAGAAAGAGAATCCTCAATACACTCTTCTATTACTGAAGAGAACTAGAATAATGATTTGATAATAATTAGCAAATTTTAAAAAATTCAAATTGCTACTCCTCTTATATATTTGATATGTAAAGACAAACTTGAATGGAAAAAAGAAATTAAAGTATTTTTTGAAGCTTTGAAAAAAATATTTATTTTTGTACTAATTTTGTATTATGTTAATTTTTTTAAGACATTCTTTATGAAAATAAATGCATCAAACTTTGCTATGAATATTGTTATAATAATATATAGATAAGATATTTGTATTATTGATACATAGGAATAGATAGTTGAAACCATGCTTAAGAAGTTATAGAAGTTTTTAGAATTAAGGCTAGATTAATGGACTATATGGAATCCATTGTCAAATATTCTAAAAAGAACTTAGGACAGTTATCTAGATGAAATCTATAATGGAACCTTCTAAAAAAAGCTTAAGGTAGTTATCTAAGTGAGGTCCATCATCTAAGATATAATAAGGTATAGATAAGATAATTGTATAGATAGTTAGAACCATAAAAGTTTTTAGAATAGGGCTTAGGTTAGTAGACTAGATAGGATCCACCATAGAATATTCTAAAAAGAATTTTGGATAATTATTTAGGTAGGAATTATCATAGAATCTTCTAAAAAAGAATTTAAGGTAGTTATTTATATAGGGCCTACCACTTAAGAATATTTTAGAAAATCCAAGATATTAGAACAAGGTATAAATTGGACTAGTCAGGCTTTTTGGAGCATCTGGTCAAATATGGCTTTGGACCTTTTCTCTTAGTAAAGTTTGATTTTGAAACTTTCTATTCAGATTTATTTTTTTTTATTTTTGTTTGCTTAGTTTTGTCTTTCATGTCCTATTCTATTTAGTTCTATTCAGTTTTGTTTTAGTCTGTTTTGTCCTATTTTGTGATGAGGCTTTATATTGCTATGGATTAAAAGGATCTTGGATTTTTGAAATAATCTAGTCTTATTTCATTGATACTAGAGCAAGTGTTAGACTATTTATTTTTGGGAGCATGTCAATAGTCATCATCTAATCCAAGGTCAATTCTTGTAGTTACACTGAATATTGTGTTGAGACTATCATAAGCTACTCTTAAAAAGTCAATTTGGAGGTGAAAAGGTATTATAATAGTAGAATCTATCATAGAAATTATAGTATGGGAGATATGGCAGAGCAATCCTAGATGGAGGCTCAAATACAACACCTGTTAGGTTAGATAGCTACTTTGCAAGGACAAATAGAAGCCTCAAAGATAAAAGAATTAACATTTGCTAGGTTAAAATTGAGTAAGTCTTATAACAAGGTATAGATAAGATAATTTTATAGATAGATAGAACCATAGAAGTTTCTAGAATTGGGGTTAAATTAGTGGACCATGAAGGATCCATCATGGAACATTCTAAAAAGAGTTTAGGGTGGTTATTAAGGTGGGATCCATCATGGAACCTAGAAAAGACTTAAGGTGATTATCTAAGTAGAGACCACTATATAATATCTTAAAAA